GTGATATTTCATCTGCACATCAACCCATTAATTTCCCCTGTAAACATTTATTCAGCATTGTCACTGTTTCAAGTACGGTTGCAGGGGAGGGGTAAATATGTAAGTTACAATAATTGATTGCTCTCAGGAAGCTTACAATCTAACAGGAGTCAAATACTTATTAAGGTACTATTACAGTGATGTGAAGGTGCAGAGAGAGAGAGAGAGAAAGGAACGCTGATGAAAGCCTACGAGAAAGTTACTGAAGTGCCCCTAGAAAGCCTGGGAAGTCTCCCTGGAGGAAATAAGTGCTTCTGAGAGGCCGCAGAAGAGGAGGGGAAACCAGAGGGCACAATGAAAAACGAGGCGAGCATGGGACAAACAGCATGGTGTATGCAAACTACAAGTGACTTGTTGTATTGGAGCATAAAGATTGAGGCTACCAACGCTGGGAAAACTGCTCTCTTCATGAAAGAACTGATATTTTGTTCTGGACTGAACCCCTTTATGAGTCACTTATAACACTCACTTTGAACTATATTTATCTTCTCTCATTAAAAAGTGGTTAATGTTCATTTTCTTTAGATCCTCTGCAATTTCTTTTGGCAATACTTTTAACCATAGTAAGTCCAGTATGTACTTACTAAATGAAATAGAGAATCATGCAAAATCAGGCAGAGGTGGCATGAAATATATGAACACTGCCACTGTTTAAAGAGTGAATGAAAAAAACACAGTTCTCAGGTTATTAGAAGACAACATTTTTGCACAAACAAAAGCATCTCAAGTGCACCTATCACAGGATCTTCCAGTGTTCTTTCCACTGTAGGATTACATCATGAGGGAGATATATAGACATCTCTAATACCATTTGACAGTATCTGTACTCAAGTGTAATTCTAACAAATTGAGTAATTTTACTAAAATGAGGTCAAGATCTCTGCTAGTTTTGTTTGGGGGGAGGGGAATAAGGACTTCTCAGTGGTCTTAGTTGAATTGAAGTACAAATGAAGAGTGTTAACATAAACTCCACTTTTATGGAAACACTTAAAAAATACTGTGCCAGTAATTGCCATTATGTGATATCTTCTTTAGATATTATGAACAATATGACAAGAATATCTAGGTCTGATAAATAGCTACTAAATTCTGGAAGATTTTTTGAAACTCTGTAGTTTGAGAGAATATATTAATAGTTTAATGTTTTATTAAAATAGTTAATATTTGGGTGTGAAATTATAAATTGCATTGTGCTTAGAATTTCATGAAAAACCAAACATTAAAGCTCCCCAAATCTTGTTTTTTTACTTAAAGCATTGTGTCACTCTCGTCTATGTTCTTTGCTCTACCTTAATCTTTCTGCTTACTTTTCTTTTCTTCACCTTTCACATAGGTAAAGCACATCTCTGTGTCTAACCTGGGTCATATTATCCTTACTTCAGTGCAGACAAGCACATGGCCATCTGCAAAATTGTATTCGATATCACCTTGCTTATTTCCTTACCCTTCATTTCGGTTGTTTTTGCTTGTATGTGTAGAATATGGACAGTAAAAGTAGAATTTTTCCTCTCTGAATTAGCTTGAGAGAAATACACACACACACACTTTTTGAAAAATCAGAATGTATCGTGTATTAGAAATTCATTATGTTTGTCCTCTCTACATTAAAAAAATAAAAGAAGTAGGTAATGTGATTGGTGATGTAGGACAAAGTTAGCCCAATAAGTTTTTCATTGAATTAACTATTTCCTTGACTAGCAAATCAACTTTCTTTAAAGACTCAATTTTTTATTCTCCTATCACCACAAGTTTCATAAAATATACTTAGAGATAGATATCAGTTACAACCAGAAACACTTCTTTTGAGTAAAGTTTTAAAACTAAGTGTAGATATAGTGACTTTTAAAATGCTATTTAATCATACCACTTTATTAAAGCTTTTTAAAAACAATAAAACCCATAAACTGTGTTAATTTTGCAGAGAATGAATCTTTTTGAAAAACAAAGTTAAATTTCATCTTCCTTTGTGAAAAAGTAATTGGAGAAATGCAAACTTTATGTATACAGCCCCCCCCCCCCACCAAAAGAAAAGGCTAGAAATAGCGGGATGACAAACTCCACTGTGAATCTTATTAGTCATGCAAATCTCATAGTGTATACTCTATTACATACTTTGTTTCCCGGGAGTTTATGTAATTTTGGGCGATTTTAAACTCTATATAAATACATACAGTACTCTTTTAAACAGCTTCTCTTTGATTCCAAAATTAATTATATTCATTTGTACATTGAATAATATATTTTATAATCTGCATTTCAAATGAATATATAGGAATTGAAGAATAGTACTTATTTATTAATATACTCCTGCTAATTGCACTTCCTCCTTCCCCCTTTTAAAAGTAGGGCTTATTTTGTTTTAGTTATTGAAAATGGATGGTTTTAAGTCAATCATCAAAATATTGTTTTTACTCAGTGAATATTCCATTATATATATTTTATTCAGTATTTTGGTTTACATGAAGAACTGTATATTCAGTACTAGGAATTTAGTGTTAAAGGTTGATGAGCTTTGATTATTTTTTTTAAATGAACAGGGACAGAGCAGTTTTGCTTGAATTGCACAGAACATCTGCTGTGTCTAGAGGACTTCTTGTTGTCACTCTCGAAATGGGCAATACTTGAAATTTTAAGATCTTCACGGTTGTTGTTGTTGTTTAATTCATCTGCACTCAATCCAACAGTGACTCATAGATATTTTCCTACACTTATATCTTTGTGGTGAAACACAGTGGATAACTTTTTATAATATCATTTTCAAAGCTATCTTGTAAAATATAACTAAAGGGGCTTCAGTGTTCTCTCTTACATCAGAATAAAGTTCTTCTGTTTTATCTTGAAGCTTGGTTTTAAAAAAATGCACAGAAAGGTCAAATCCATTCCAAAGAGAAATCTCATTCCTTAGAAATATTTGGTAAGATTTTGTATCACTTTTGTCTTTTAAATTCTGTCATCTGCCTAGATTTAACTAAAATAATTTTTCTTTCGCAACTTGTTAGCTAAATGTGTCTGTTCAATGGCTAGTTTTTTCAAAGGTAAGATTATCACAAAAGGAGAAGGAAATTAATTTCAAAGTATATATTTGGTATTTTTAAAATGCTATATTTCATCATGGAGAGACACAATTTAGCCTATAAAATCTACAGGAGAGAAGCAGGGAAAATGTGAGAGGAGTCAGTCCTAAACAAGTATATTTTCTGTCCCAACCTTCAAAGGTAATAATTTCAGCTTGATGAGCTCCTGGTCGAATATATAATTTTCCTCTTTCATTCTTAGCTTCCTTGAAATACAGAGGACTGGATGTCCACTAGGCCAAAGTATAAACTTACCAGTTATGTATTAAAGTCACACTTAATGAAAACGAAGCGAAATTATTTCCACACTCACTCTCTTTCTCATTACAATTCCTAAAGAACTTTACGGGGCACATTATCTCGTAGACATCATGATCAAATGTTATTGTTTGCTTTATTATCTCAGTTGGATGGTTGGCTAGTCTAGAATGAAATAGGTTTAAGGCAATACTCGAAGCCTAGAAGTCTGAATGAGGTTCCCATTCAAATGATCCTGGTTGTTTGGGGTGGGGAGGGGTGATTAGTAAACCAACTGAGCTTACACTGCATAGTAAGCATCTGGATGCAGCGCATTTACATCTAACAGGAGAACCCAGAAAACGCGTGTGTCTTAAACCTTATGTTCCGAACAAAAGGCTATCTCAGCAACAGACAATCAGCACTGCATTGCTCCCTGGGATGCGAGCAACACACTCAACTGCACATTTCATTCTTCTCAGCTCCCAGCACTACAAAGCCCCTACTCTCTTTCCACTCCTGGGTCCCAGATTACTCCCTAGAAGGGGGTTGGGAAAGCAGCCTAACGCTTCTGCCAGCGCACTAGCAGCCCGCAACCGGGGCCCCCAGGCGCTGCGTCCCCTGCTCAAGCCGCCTGGGGGAGGTAGGGAGGGGAGCCAGGGAGCGCGAGAATGGACCGCACACCTAGACACTTATGATTTTATTTATTCACAGGGAGGCGGGGGAGGAGAACGGGGTTCACTCGGGGTTTTTTTCCCCGAAGTTGCCTCTTCTTGGCCGATAAAGTCATTTTTCTGCCTGGTGCTGGGGACCCAGGGGAGGGTGTGGGTGAGGTCCCCGCTCTCAGGGACAGATCTTGTCCTGCGCGCGGAATCCAGAGGGGGTGGGGGGCTAAGGGTGGACGCGCCGCAGCTGTGGAGACGGCCAGAAGCTGGCAGGGAGGGGTCCGCGGGCCGCAGAGCCGCGCAACCCTGGACCGGGCCCTCCAAGGCTGGCTGGGGAGCGCAAAGGCCGGCTGGTCAGGCGTGGGAAGGAAAGGCCCCTTCTCCGTAAGGCACTACTCCCCTTTCCCCGGGCTGGGCCGCCTGAGAGTGCAGGCAGAGAGAGCTCCGGGTCTCCGCGCTCGTAATCATGACCTCGGGGCCCCCTCCGGGCCGCGTGAGCGCGTCGGCGAGCCTGGGCGGCCGCCGCGGCCCGGGCCGTGTAACATGACCCGAGCGGCCGGCCGGCCAGCGCGGCGCGGCCATTGAGCCCTCCCTGCCCATGAATCTCTGGCGCGTCTCTGGCTCGCTCGCCCGCTCGCCTCGCGCTTCCCTTTCTCCCCCTCCAGCTCCGCGGGCTCCGTGCGCCTCTCCCTCGCGGTCCTCCCGCTGCCCGTCTCTCGCCACTGCCCGCCTCTCGCCACTGTCTCCCGTCTGCTCTCCCTCTCGGCAGCCTCCGTCTCTTTCTCCCTCTCTCCTTTGAAAACTGATCTTTGGCTCTTAGTGTGAAAGTGATTTGAATTTGGCTCGGCGGCGCTCTGCGCCTGCGCTCAGCCTCTGGCATGCTGGCTCCTTCCAAGCAGCTGTTTTGGGTTTGAAATTCCAACATGGCAGAGGCTGCAGTCCGTCTTCCCTTCAAAAACTTGGAATGATTTCAAATCATAGGCACCTTCACTTAACCCAAGCTTCCATTCATCAGCAAACACATCGGATCGATGCTACGCTAACCTATCGGCTTTTCGCTCCGCGCGTTCAGGTAAGAGGAGCTTCGTAGTTTTCTACCATCTGTTTAAATTTGTTTTTGTTTTTGTTTGTTTTATTTTAAAAGAATATAAATAAATCCAAGACCTGTAATAAAAAGAGATCTTCGAGTTGTGTCGTAACCATTAAATTTAATTTGCACTCGTTTCTATTCTGTACGCCAACCTGCTGTCTAATTTCTCTGTACAAAGTAGCCCTGAAACATTATAATACATATTTTTGCTGCTTAATCATTGAAACAATAGTGTGGGATTAAGAGTTCGCGATGGCAAGAATCTCGTTTTCCGCTATATTGGGCTTACTTGCTACTATCTTTTTACTTCAAAAATAAAAAATAAGAAAGCGGAGCCATAGGGTGGGGCTAGACTTTCTTCGGGAACTAACTTCTAAGTAAATAAGAAGTGTAAATAAGGATCTTGCACACACAAAAAGTTGAGGTTAAATTACAATCTCGTGGCTGGGGGAACGTGAAAATGTCAGCAGATCGGTTGCAGAAAAATGTAAGCACATCATCTTGGAGGGGGTACAGCGTGGTGGGCGTATTGTTGGCAAGGAACGGGAGAGAAAGATGTATAATTTAATGGTATATACAATCCACTGATCCTATTACCATCCTCCCCGGAGCTCTTGTTAGTTTCAATGGGAGTGAGTGAAATTGACATGGACTTGCATTCCTGGTCCTGTGCTTTTTTTCCTTTCTTTCTTCTCCTGTGATCTGAGATCCCCTTTTTGTTGATGTTGCTTTCCCCCTTAATTATATGCATGTAGGTTAAATGAATACCTGACGAAAGGGCCCACGTTTCAAGGCAGTGACATTTGATAGCTGAGAGGAAAAGTGGCTTTAATGAAAAGCAACCTTTGGAATTCCTGCTTGTGAGAAATCCAATTCAGCTTTTTGTGCTGCCAGCAAGAAATGATCAGTAGCACCAGTGTTTATGGTATGTCAGTTTTGGAATTTACTTCCTTTGCATCTAAATAGGAAAGACAAATTAAATAGCATGATCAAACCATTGAAGATTCTGCTTGGGAAGCAAATGCTCATGATATATAATTCCTTTTAAAAATATATGTATATTTTAACCTGTCCAAATGCTTGTTTATTTTTGCTATCACTTGTTTATATATTTCAGTTTTGATTACTAGATTACTGGAGTCCACTTTTATCGGTTTTAGCTGTAATCCCAAAGTTGCATGTTACTAGTAATGCACTATATAATCGCTGAAGTCAAATGGTATGTAAATTAGTTAAACTCAGTGTGGGGTTTTTTGGGGAGGGGGTTGGGTGGAGAGGGGAGAGGGGCGGGAGTGTGGGGAAAGACTGCTTACTAATGAAAGTATATATATGTACACACACAGAACTGGGTGAATTTTTTTTTTTCATTCTGTTAATGCAATTGGACTATCGGCTCTCTCAGTGATTGCACTTTATGGAGTAATCAGTTCGTCTGAGTGTGTGGGTTTTTTGGGGGGAGGGAGAGTGAGTTATGAAGGGATATCTTTTACATGAAAATAAAAATATATTTTGATTGCTTAAAGTCCTTAATACCTTTTAAGGAACAGTGGTAGCTTTTTTCTTTGCTTGCCATTCACTTGTCTGTCAGCGCTTTTTACTTTTAACCTGTGACAGAATTAAATAATCAGGCACTGAAATTTACTTTGTTTGAAATCGCTCTTTCCTCTTTCTTTTCAAAAAAAAAAAAAGGTCAGATAAATTGAGTGAGGGGGGTTTTCAATAGCTCTTGTGACCATGCCCTGTGTACACTTTGTGATATTCAATTAAGACTAAGAGGGAACAACAACAACAAAAAGATGCTAAAAGTATTTTGCATAACCAAAGGATAGGTCCACTTTAAACTGTTTCTTTTTTGTTACATTTACCCTGCCACCCTGCATTCACCCTGAGAAGAGAGAAAGAAGGAAAGGGAGAATATGAGAGAAACAAATAGCAGTGGGGCAAAGCTGCCAGAGGTCTGTAATGTGGCTGTGGTTACTGCTCTCTCATAACACAAATGTGAATACAAGGAAAGAGACTACAGGAGCGGATCCGCGACACATACACTTCTGGGTGGACTCTGGTGACTATCGAGCTAAACACACACCGCTCTTACACGATAGGAAGGATTTGATTGAATTTTGCATTTGGAACTTGTTGACTTTGAAGCGATCAATAAGAAGACTGTTTATTTTAGATGCACATAATTTGCCCTGAGAAATGTTTTAAGGAGGAGAGAGCACAGCTTTTCTTCCCCCGGAGCTGTTGGAGCGAATGGGATTGCCAGATGGGCGATTTCCCTCTGTGATGTTAAAGCTGTAATATATATTCAGAGCAGATTGGGCTGCTGCCTGTGATGAGGAGGATATTACATTTATAAATTTTAAATCGGAGCTCAGACAATGTGCTGAGAGCAGAAATTGGATGGTTTGACTGTTTACCTCATTGATACTTTAAATGTGATTTCTGGGTAGTAGTAATAATAATAATTGCAATAATATGTAAAAAACACATTGGGTTAGGCAGTCATATAATTCATGACATTTAAGAGCAGATTTAAGTGTGTAAATTGCCCCCCACCCAGGCTCTGCTTACTATTAAATAATAGTCATATAATTTATTTCCCAGACTGTTTAAATGCCTGTTGTGCAAATGATGTTCACTCAGGAGCTCTTTTATGATGTACTAGAATCCTGGGAGAAAAAGTTTACATATATATATGTCTATAGTGTAGACACTTGTGTATATGTATAAAGTGGCATTAATGGCCCCTATTTTGTAATTCTGTTACTCTGATTATATTTAGATTGTGTCTCAAATGTGTGGCCTAAAGGAACCAGAGCTACAAACCTAAAAGGCTGGAAAGTGGGCAAGTGCTGACACTCTGGCAGCTCTGCTGTTGCAAATTAAAAGTGTGTTGTGGTCAGGAAATGAAAGCTACAATGTCTCTTTTGAACAAGTCGTTTATCAAGAGAAACATCTATCAGGGACTGCCTTGTCACATTGATCCTCTAAAAGTTAGGTCCGAGGTGGAAGCTGCTTTGATGTTTTTGATCCTAAATTTAATACAACAGAAAAAAAGCAAGGATATTTTGACCAGAATGGATTTTTAAAAAATGTTTCCTGGAACCAAGAAGATCTATTTATTAGTATTGTACTATGTGTGAAGTTTTCTGGACACAGCAGTTGAAAGGTTGAAGGGGAAACCCCAGCCTTTATAGATGGCTGGTTGTTAAAATATACATTTATAGTGCATTCAGCTAAGACTGGCTTCTTGGTTCACATGGACATTTTGAGAATAGATTGCACTAAAGGGAAAATTATCTTGAAAGTGTGTTTTGGAGCAATTTGCAGAGATCAGAGTTTTCATCCATTCAAATTTGAGAGTGGCCCTCTTCCTTTCGTCCTTCTCTTTTAATCCTTCATTTCTATTTCCTGTCTTCATTACATGTGTGACACATTAGCTTTTATTTGGAACATAAACATTTTTCTATAAAAACCATCTCCCACAAACATGCTTGTTCACATCATCTCTATTGTTTATTAATTGTGCCTGTGGATGGTTATCAGTATAAACTACATGGACTCACAAGGCTCTCAGAACTTCAGCTTACAAATATAGGTAGGTAACAGATTAAATATGCTATGTATTCTGGAATACTGAATATGTTGCATGTGTTATTCAAATGTAAAAAGGTATTGTTAAGAAAATGGCCACGTTTAAAAAATGTGGTTTCTTTCTTTGTGTGTGTGTGTGTGTGTGTATGTGTGTGTGAAAGCTGTTAAAAGCAGCCTGCTTCATTTTGGAAGGCAAAGACATGAGAGAAGTGTTTCTTCTTGGAAACAGAGTTTTTGGATACTTGTCTTATACTGTTGGTGGCTACTTGCTAGTTCATAGGGGTCTATCAACAACTAGGCTGACAGACCACAAAGAGTGTGGTGGGAGTTTTGGGAAGTGTAATACTTGCTAATTAATCATGTCTGAAATGAAAGAATCATAGCAGGGTAATAAAGTCTCATTGTTGTTTTCCTGGAAGAGGCTAAGACTTCTGTTTGGAAGCTGTATGTGTGAGTTGACTTGCTTTTCTCTTCTTAAAAAGACAGTTTGTAGGGTCTCTTTGGATTTATTTCAGGAACCTTTTTCTTTTTTTTAAATGGAATAGTTTTCTTTCTCGTGGCTGTACCAAATCAGTGAGATTCTTAAAAATTGTCTCTGATATCTTCTGAGTGAAAACATAGAGTGTTTTTCTTTAGTTATACTAGACTCCAGCTGCTAAGTTTCCAGTACCATTTTTTTTCCATAAATAGAAAATCCTTTTTTTTTTTGTTTTTGTTCTTGTTAGGCAGGAATTTTGAAAATCTTTTTGTAGGCAAGGTACTTATGACAGGCATACAGATATACAGGAGAGCAGAAATTTCACTAATTTTTAGATAGCACAAGAGTATTGGCCAGAGGGGAGAAAAAAAGTAGTATTTCCAAGAATCTGTAGAGAAAATCTTTAGAAAACTTGAGATTTCTAACAGAGTTTAAAATATTAGCTACCTGAGAAGATGAATAATAGTATTATAGGGAAATTCTTTTTTCCTCACTGAATTTTGTGGTATCACCTTTTAGAATTTAGTGTCTTTATTGTCATTTTAATTTCATCTTTATTATATATTTTTCCACTCAGTCCCCTTCTCTACCCCCTGCCCCTCAGCAATCACCACACTGTTGTCCATGCCCACGGGTCCTTTTTCCTTTTTGTTCAATCCCTCCACCCCCTCACCAGCACCCCCCGCAGCTGTCATCTTGTTCCCCATCTATGAGAGAGCCCAAAAGTTTATAGTGTCTGTAACATTTTTCAAAATTTGTACCTCAAGGTGAAGATGGGTATGCTAATGATTCCCTATTTTTGTCTGTTTAGATGTCCTGAATGATTGCCTCACTAAGTAATCAGTTTCAGTGGTCCCAAATCAGCAGAATTGCTATGTGTATTTGAAACAATTGCAGGCTCTTAGTTTTGTACTTTCTAGTTTGTTCCTAGAGACTGGCTTAATAGAAATGTTTACTATTTTGCTTTTGATCAATACGTTCTTGAGCACATATGTCACATACTACTTTTATAAAGTACCACATTTATTGTTGTAGAGCTAATAAATTTAATTACCAGGAATTTAAATTGATTTATAAATTTTGATTGAGAAAAATTGTTCTGCAGACATTTGTGTGAAATATTGACGAATGCTACTGATCAATAAGACTTGATTAATCAGCATATAAGCTTTTATATCTTGAGTCATCGATAGAACAGAATAAATGGCACAGGAAACAATACAAAATTTGTTTTCAGTGAAAAAAATTAATGTAATTGTCGCTTTCTTTTGGGATATACAAAAGCTAATGTTTTATTAAAATCAATTAAACTTAGAAAATATTTTTAGGTACTACTTGGAAGATTGCAAGTCCAAAAATTATTCCACTTTTCAATGATCTCTTACCTCTATCACACACACACACCACAGATGCATTCTATCTAAAGTTTTTGTCTGTTAAAAATGAAATACTTTTTTTTGAAAGACTGAAAAATTCCTGTTTATCAAGTACTTTTCATGGGTGGATTTTACAACTGTATTACTTTTTCCCCCTACACTTACCTTTTTATTATTAACTTTCCACTTAACTCAGGGTAGACACTACAAGCATAGGGGCCCTGACATGATTGTTGATTAGTGATCGTTTTGATATTTTTGATGGTATCATTTAAATGGCAATGGTACTTGATGCTTACTACCAGAAATGCAGATAGTGGAAATAAGGGGTAGGCAAGAACAGGGTAAGAATAAATTGAACTGATAAGTTTGAAACAAATCAAAAGCAGGTGGGTATGCTGAGCTCCCTTAGGGCAGCGCCACAGACGCGAGCTCAGGACGCTCTGCCTCACCCCAGCACAGGCATGCGCTACC